ACACGGTAACTTTTTAATCTTCAAACATCGTTCATAAATTGAAGCAATGTGGAAAGAGATATTTTTTATTTTTTAAAATTTATTAAGAAAATGTTTTTAATGTTTATTTCTTTTTGAGAGAGAAAGAGAGACAGAGCTGGAGAAGGGGAGGGGCAGAGTGAGAGGGGGACACAGACTCCCAAGCAGGCTCCAGGCACACAGCCCTACAGGGGGCTTGAGCTCTTGACCTGTGAGATCATGACCTGGGTAGAAGTCAGAGGCTAACGGACTGAGCCATCCAGGCGCCCCGAAAGAGGGATTTTTACATTGAAGCATAGTTAACTTACAGCGTGATACTAGTTTCAGGGGTACGACATGACTCAACGGTCCTGCACATCCCTCAGTGTTCACCATGATGAAACACAGTATCTGTCACCAAACGTTCTCACAATATTATCATGTATTTTATGACTGGAAGTTTGTATTTCTTTAAGAAGAGCCAATAACACGGGGTTAACATGTACTTTTTAACAGACAGCATTTCAGAAATAATCGCCTTACTGTTATTTACAGATAAATATAGAGAAAAAAATTCACAAATTGTAAATCAAGTAGAGGACTATTTAGAATGTGCTTCGCCCGAGCTTGGGAATGTTTGGTGACTTTGTGGAGATGGATTTATTTATTTCGGAAACAGACGTGTATGGTAAAAGTTCCCTATTAGTTGAGAATATTCCCCCCAATACGCACGGTTCCAATCTTGGAGACCCGCTTGGGAGCTTCAGTTTGGTTCTCCTGCCCTCTAGTGGCCATTCGTCAAAATGCAGACAAAGCTGTAGGGAGGTGAAAGGTTTCCAACTCTTAGGACAACCCCGGTGGGTGGTGAATTGTACTCCAAATTTTGAAGATGCGAGGAACCGGACATATTTCCTCGTTCACTCTCCTCACTTTAATTCTGCAACATCACCACTGTGTCTCCATCACAAAGTCCCTTGAGATTCCTGATACAAAACTCAATTCTGGCATCTCTTGACTATTTGACTTAGCACCTTTATCCAAAGCTACAGAAATTTCCCATAAAAATTTTTATGTATTCACTATAATCTTAGACCTTATAAGTACCACACAAAGGGTGTTTTGCAAATAAACAAAGGAAACACTTGTAAATTTACTTGCTCTGTTTCTTACTATAAGTCATTTGTATACTGTATTTTTTTTTTTTATTCCTCGTCACTACACCACATCTTGTGAAGTATACACTGTATTTTTTCAGATTCCATGGGAATAAAATGACACTCAGGGAGGCTGACAGAACTTAGTAAATAGTACATCCTGGGCCTGAGAGTCTGACTTCAGGGTCTGCGCCATAACTTTCCTCCTTTTTAAAAAATGTTTTTTAAGTTTACTCACTAATTTTGAGAGAGAGAGAGAGAGAGAGTGCGAGCAGGGTAGTGGCAGAGAGAGGGAGAGAGAGAATCCCAAGCAGGCTCTGCACTTTCAGAGCTGAGCCCAACGCAGGCTCAGACTCATGAACTGTGAGATCATGACCTGAGCCAAAATCAAGCATCAGATGCTTAACTGACTGAGCCCCTCAGGTGCCCCTCTTCCTTCTTAAAAAAATCCAGTTTATTAGTTTTTAGCTGATTTTAAATTATTTACGAGAATGAATTGGTAATGTGTTTCAATGTTTTAACCTGCTCACTTGGGAAAGCAACATTTATGTGTCGTATTTTTTCCTACGCCAATGTAAGTCAGTCTCAAAGACCTAGACTCCTCTATAAAGTTTAAGACCCGGCTCCATGATTTTTGAGAAGCGTAGATTTTAGAAAGACTTAGGATAGAGGTTTTTCATTTTTTAACTTTAACTTCTTTAATTTTTTTTAAGAATGTAAGGTGAAAGTAGTGTTTAGCATCCTTTTCATGGTAGATGAACCAAAGCTAGTTGGCCAAGATCAAGTGCACCCTGGGAAAGAGTTTCAGTGTACAGATTGAATGTGATTTCAGACAAGAATGATTATTAACGCGGCTTAGTCAGCTGAGCATCAGACTTTGGCTCAGGTCATGATCTCACAGCTTGTGGGTTGGAGCCCCACATCGGGCTCTGTGCTGACAGCTCAGAGCCTGGAGCCTGCTTCGGATTCTCTGTCTCCCTCTCTCTCTGTGCCTCCCCTGCTCATGCTCTGTCTCAAAAATAAATAAAACCTTAAAAAAAAAGAATGATTATTAACTTCAAAAAGGCTTTCGTTGCTATGAAACTTCAGAGTAAACTTTCTTAGAGTCGCTTTTCAAAAATAACTCCATTAAAAAAAATCCCTGGGACATTCCTCAGACAGACAGTTTCAGGTCAAATAATTTCTGATTAAGCTACTAGTCATCTAAAGACAGGTCACCCAGCCACTAATGACTTTTCCTCCCTTGAATTTCTACATCTGGTTCATGCTGCTCATAAGGCCACTGAACAACCCAACCCGTAAAACCCAAAGAAAAAGAATTATCCTGTCAGGTTAAGCACACAAAACCCATACATGACAGACAAGGTTAGCTGCTCATATACTAACAGAGCTGTGTCTAGAAACGTGCGACTCTTCTCGGGATCAAAGTCAGTGGAGTGAAATCTCAGGGAGGCGTATCAGAGACCTGGCCATAAATGGGAAAGCTCAAGTCTGGCCAGTTATACTTTATCCTGTGTGAAGAGAGTATTACAACAGTCATGTAACTGTTTTCATGTGAACTTAATAATTATCTACATGAAATATTTAAAACCCAATTATTCCAAGTTCGAATTCAAGCAATTCTCACCCGATCCCTAGGAGATAGGTAATCTTGTTACCCACTTTTGTAATGAGTAAACTGAGGCACATACACATTCAGTCACTTTCAGGATTTCAATCTAGTAAGTGATGGAGCAGGATTCATTCCTGGCTTCTAAGGCCAGGACACGCCAACACCCTGCTATCCTGACTCACGCGACGGTCTTAGTTGTGATGGCTGATTTTATGTGTCAACCTGACTGGTCCACAGGGTGCCCGTATATTTGGCCAAACATTGTTCTGAGCGTTTCTATAAGGGCGTTTCTCCATAAGATTAACATTTTAGTTCACGAAGCAGATTACCCTCCCTGATGAGGACAGGCCTCATCCAAAGCCGGAACAGAACAAAAGGCTGACTCTCCCTTGAGTAAGAAGGGGTTCCTCTTGCCTGATTGCCTCCGAGCTGGGCCATCGGTCTTCTCCTGCCTTTGGACTTGGACTCAGACTGAATTACAACACTGGCTCTCCCGGGTGTCCAGGTTGCTGCTCATTGAGGATGTCAGGACTTCTCAGCCTCCATAAGTGTGTGAGCCAATTCCCTACAATAGATACATATATCCTGCTTATATATTATTATTTATTATGTAGTAATATATATTATATATTAGTTATACCTAGATGTGTATACATATTTCCACATATTTATATATATAAATATATAATTTATAATATGACTTACCTATCTATATTGTTTCTCTGGAGAACCCAGACTAATAGATTTTTGTTCTGAGAATGGGGAGATATATATATGTGTGTGTGTGTTTATATATATATATATATATATATACACATATATATATATACACACATATATATACATATATGTGTATATATTATTTATACATTAAATTATATAAATGTTAAATATATAAATATTAAGCTAATACTTATATATTAAATATATATATTTATTTATAACCCTGACGTGCTGTAAGCTTCCCAAGAATGGGGAAATACGTGCTATTCTCCCACTGTATACCCAGCACCTGTTATAATTCCTGCTGCAGGATAGGCTTCCCAAATTAAGCATGTGTTCACCGGAGAGAAGTGCTAGGTCAAAGAATACAGACATAAAATACACAATTCCTGCCTTCAGGGGCCTCACACTTCTTAGGATGACAAAATCCACATGGACAAAATCTAATTAACTGGCTGGCTTCCATATTAATCCCAAATGGGTATAGACCAGATAATGGTTTCAAAATATACGAATCCCAAGTTGATAGAACTGAAAAGGGAAACACATCCGCACTCGTAGCTGGAGATCTCAATACGCTGCTCAGCAATTTACAGAGTAAGCAGGCAGAAAATCAGTAAGGCTCAAGACGTGAACAACCCTACCCACCTGCGGGACACAGCATTGCACCCAAACAAAGCAGGATGCACACGGTTTACGGGAGCACGTGTGACATCGGCCAGGAGACACCATATTCTGATTAAAAATGAGCGTGGACATCTCGGAATGGATTGAAATCCTACAGGATGTGCATTCCTCCCGGCCGGAAGCCTCTCCTCTCAGGTTCAGGTGCAGAGGACTCAGAGGGAGCAGGCTGCATTCAGGGGTTTGCGAGGACAGTGTCAGAGGGCGGTGGGGCGAAGGGAGGGTGTGAGCGAGGGGAACCGGGAGTAACGACGGGGACTCGGCTCGTCGCGGTGACTCCGCGGGGCCGGACGGCCGGGCCACTCCGGCCTGCTTTCCCGGGCCGTGGCCGGGGTCACTGGAGGGACGACGATTCCGCTTACCGACAGTAAAAGTAAAAACTACCGGCCCCCCGCGCTCCTCTCTTCCGGCCACGGGAACGCCCGCTGCCCCTCCTCTGCCGCCAGCCCCGCCCCTTTACGCACCCGCCCGGCAGAAGAATCTGCGGCCGCAGAACCGCCGGCGCGGGCGCGCCGCCTCCCGAGGGGCGGAAGTCGATCTCACGCAGAGCCGTAAAGCGCGCTCCCTTCCGGTTAACGACAGCCGCCGCTACCTTCCCAGCCGGCCTTCCTCCGGTGAGCGCCCGTGCGGGACCCTCGGAATTGCCGTGTTTTCCCAGCTCGGGGCTGTTCGTGTCGCCGCCCCCTGCGCCTAGGATCATGTTCAAGAAATTTGACGAGAAAGAAAATGTGTCGAACTGCATCCAGTTGAAAACCTCCGTTATTAAGGGCATTAAGAACCAGTTGATAGAGCAATTTCCAGGTATTGAACCATGGCTTAATCAGATCTTGCCTAAGAAAGATCCGGTCAAAATAGTGCGATGCCACGAACACATAGAGATCCTTACGGTAAACGGAGAGTTACTGTTCTTTAGACAAAGAGAAGGCCCTTTTTATCCGACCCTGAGGCTACTGCACAAATACCCTTTCATCCTGCCGCACCAGCAGGTCGATAAAGGAGCCATCAAGTTTGTACTCAGTGGAGCCAATATCATGTGTCCAGGCTTAACCTCTCCGGGAGCTAAGCTCTACCCGGCCGCGGTAGATACGGTTGTGGCAATCATGGCCGAGGGGAAGCAGCATGCGCTGTGTGTCGGGGTCATGAAGATGTCCGCAGAGGATATTGAGAAAGTCAACAAAGGCATCGGCATCGAGAACATCCATTACCTAAACGACGGGCTGTGGCACATGAAGACCTACAAATGAGCTGATCGGAAGGAGCGCACTCGGACTGGCTATGGACGTTGTGCTGTGTCTGTGTCTGTGTGTGACGGCACGAAGATGGTGCCTCTGTGGTTCTGCCTAAGTTCAACAGATGGTTATGCTACGGGAAACAGAAACTAAACGGAAGTAAAGATTTGGAACGAGTACATCTGCCTGTATGCGTGTCTTTGTGAGTGAGTGTGTAGGAGTGGGTGTCTGTGTGTGTCTGCAGAGGGGCGGTTAGTTTCGATTTGCTGCCTTACCTGCCCAAGCGGGTGTGGGTCCAAACACAGGTGGGAATATCTGTGGTAGAAAAATAGATTTCAAAGTGAAGAGACCCAAAGTGGTGAGGGAAGAGCTTGGAGAAAGAAAAGGACTGGAGAGGGGCCTCCGCAACTGTCAGCAGTAGCATTTAAAGGATAAGCAGAGGGGCGCCTGGGTGGCTGAGTGGTTTAAGCGACTTCGGCTCAGGTTATGATCTGCAGTTGGTGGGTTCAAGTCCTGCATCCGGCTCTGTGCTGACAGCTCAGAGCCTGGAGCCCGTTTCGGATTCTGAGTCTCCCTCTCTCTCTGCTCCTCCTCTGCTTAAGCCCGCGTGCTCTCTCTCTCTCTCTCAAAAATAATAATAGTAATAATAATAATAAAGGATAAGCAGACACTCCAGTAAAAAAGTGTACGGCAGGTGTTGGTGAGCGTCTGCCCAACAAGCATCACTCCCTCCCTCCTTGTGGCAGAACTCTGTCCATCCCTTTTCCACATGAAAATCCTGATTAGTCCAGGCCCATCACAGCGGTCTATTTCCCAATGAGACTGGGTCATTTATGGGTGGGCATGGGACCAAAGGCCAAATAGGATCTGACTATTTAGAAATCCTTAGGAAAATGGGGATCTTTTCTCCCACGGTTTTGATTTATTATATAGGTGGGGGATGTGGCCTGTGTTAGGAGGGGCTGTTTAAAGATTTCTGGAAAAGGTTTTCAGGCTCTCAAAGAAAGATGCATGGGGAGAAACAGTCTCCCTGCTTTGGGTGGATGTAGGCATGTGTGGGTTTGTTCTTGTCACGCACATGCATGTGCACGCACACACACACACAAAACCTTGATAAGCATGAAGTCTGATCACGCAAAAACTGAACAGGAAGCAATGGTGCCTTTGATGATTTATGAGCTGATGATGAACCATGGAGACTCCATATATTGGAGCCCCCTATTAAGGGATGTGGCAGTTATGTGAGATAACACATTTTCCTTATAAACTACTTCATTTTGAGTCGAGTTTTCTAAAATTTAAAGCCAATATATCTCAATTTTTACAGAACGGCCTCACAGACCCCCAACTGAAAAATTGTCAATAAAATCGGTCAGCTGGAGGCTCATTGGTGATGTCCCTGTGATCGGTTTCAGGATAATTCATACGAATTGCAGTAGATTTGGGGTGAATGGAAAGTGAAAAGGTAAAATGTGGAAATTTAGACTCCATGTTAGTCCTTACGGAATTTCGGTTGTGAGTGAAAAGATACTGGATAAAAGCTACAAGAAAATTTCAGTCAAGATACTGTGTTTTGGAGTTCAATTATTTTGCTGTTATTTTTATTGTTTTTGTTGCAGGTTGTTAATGGGATAGTTAATATGTTTATATGTTGGGAAAGATTCGCTAAAGGTGGAAATGCTTGATGGGGATCTAATCAGTGCAATAGAAAAGCAGGAAGGAATGGCTTCAAATGGAGACAAGGATGTCCTCAAATCTGTGCGTTTGGATTATCTCTTCACTACAGGGTTGTCCTGTAACAACCGTTAAACTCTCCTCATTAGACCATTTTTTCTTAAAATATTAGGGCTTTTGCCTCTTAATTCTCTACCCCAACCAACACCACCAACTCTGGCCATTGGTGGACACCCATGGAGGACCTGTAAACTCATGGTAATATTCTGGAGCATCGGTGACTGACGAACACTGAGGGAGGCACTCAAGGTAAGCAGCCCACAGTTCTCTTACCATATCCCCACCAACTGTCTCCACCAAAAGTTGAAAGAGGGCCCCTGGATCTTTTCTAAGCCTTCTTTCAGTTTTCATTCATGCACATGCATCCTGTCTCCCGTTATTGGATACTAATCCTTATACCGATACCAAGCCTACTAAACAACTCAAAATGGGAAGCCTGCATACACATTGGAAAGAAGGGAGGGGCCAGAGCTCTATGAACTTCCTGGAATTTCACATAAAATTTGGTGTGTATATTCAGAGGTAGATCTATTGGTTAAAGTGTTCTCTACATTCATATGTTTGAGGTGATCTATGAGCCAAAAGGTTATTATGAACAATTAAAGTAGAAGAGGTTCGTCTCTACTTACTCTTGGCTAATACCAATGCCTAATTCGATGGTGAGGATACTGGCTAATGAAATACAAATAACAGTCACATCTTGCCTCAAGAATCGGCCTACTCAGTGCTACTTAACCCCAAATAGTTCAACAGACATTATTGGGTACATACTCTGGGGCTAGACGCTGGGTTTAGGAGTAAGATGCAAATATAGAAGTATTTTTATATTTACTTGTTATACTTACTCGTTTTTCATATTTATATTTGTTATGTTTATTCTTATACCCTGTTTTCTGGGAGCGTAGTCTCGTTAGGAAAGCAAACATGTAGAAATATAATTTACTTTCACATATTTGTGTGTGTGTATACACCTATATATAGTAAATATATGAATTACCTATTAGAATACCATGTAAATGAATGAGGGAGAGTTGTCTTTGCCTAGAAAATCAAAGAAGACTTCTTAACTAGGGGCTGTCTGAGTGGGAAAAAAAACAAAAAAACAAAAACAGGGGCTCCTGGGTGGCTCAGTCAGTTGAGCGTCCGACTTCAGCTCAGGTCATGATCTCACAGTTGACAAGTTCGAGCCCCGTATCGGGCTCTGTGCTGACAGCTTGGAGCCTGGAGCCTGCTTCAGATTCTGTGTCTCTCTCCCTCTGCCCCTCCCCTGCTCATGCTCTGTCTCTGTCTCAAAAATAAAATAAACATGAGCATGAACAAGGGAGGGTCAGAGAGAGGGAGACAGAATCCGAATCAGGTTCCAGGCTCTGAGCTGTCCGCACAGAGCCCGACGCGGGGCTGGAACTCACAGACTGCGAGATCATGACCTGAGCCCAAGTCGGACGCTTAACCGACTGAGCCACCCAGGCGCCCCTGTTCTCAGTATTTAAGAGTCTCTTGTGGTTTGCCTTCCTCCCTCTCTGTAACTTTTTTTTCCCCCTTCTCCTCCCCCCTGGTCTTCTGTTAAGTTTCTCAGGATCCACATAAGAGTGAAAACATATGGTATCTGTCTTTCTCTGCCTGACTTATTTCACTCAGCATAATACCTTCCAGTTCCATCCACGTTGCTACAAATGGCCAGATTTCATTCTTTCTCATTGCCAAGTGGTATTCCATTGTATATATAAACCACGACTTCTTTATCCATTTATCAATTGATGGACAGTTAGGCTCTTTCCATAATTTGGCTATTGTTGAAAGTGCTGCTATAAATATTGGGGTACAAGTGCCCGTGTGCATCAGTACTCCTGGATCCCTTGGGTAAATTCTTAGCAGTGCTATTGCTGGGTCATAGGGTAGATCTATCTTTAAATTTTTGAGGAACCTCCACGCTGTTTTCCAGAGCGGCCGCACCAGTTTGCATTCCCACCGACAGTGCAAGAGGGTTCCCGTTTCTCCACATCCTGTTTCTCCGCTACAGGCAGCATCTGTAGTTTCCTGATTTGTTCATTTTAGCCACCCTGACTGGCGTGAGGTGGTATCTCAGTGTGGTTTTGATTTGTATTTCCCTGATGAGGAGCGGCGTTGAGCATCTGCAAAAAGGCGGTTTTATTACAGCCCGGCGACAGGACCCTGGGCAGGGAGAGCTGCACAGGGGTTGTGGGGAGCGACTGATTACATAGATATACTTTCGAGTATGTGGAGGGAGGGAGGGATAGATACCGTAAGTCTCCAAGGAGTTTCTGGATGCTGAAGATTTAGCTATCATCCAGATAAGGTTGCTTTTAGTTTGTACGGAAGTGTGAACGTGAAGGCATTAAAGCAGCATAAACGTCTAGGGGCGTGTTACACGCCGCAGGTCCCTGCCACCTGTCACTGGGCTGCAGGAGGGAAGGGAATTTAATTTAAACTACGTTTCTCTTGCCTTTGCTTCCCTCATCAATGACACACGTTA